AAACTGCAAACTTCCCTTACCACAAGAACACAAAACTACCAGGCTTCACTGGTACCAAGACAGGCAGCAATGGCTGTAATAGTGGAATGTCATAATGTTTAGGAACAAGTCTAGGTCTTGTTTGTGGCACTCTGATGGACGCATACGTGTTCGAAGGCCTTGAGGTCAAAGGTAAAATCTGGAATTTGTACAGAGATGTCATATCGCTCTAACACCTGGAGTAATGATATGGGATGGTATACACATCTGTTGAAGTACTCCCTTAGTGTTCATTCCAGGCACGCTAAATGCCCGGCATTACATCGTTAACGTGTTAAATCAATTTCTTTTTCCTTATCTCTCGAACCGTCGAAGAACATCTTTTGAACAAGATAATGCGTGGCCTCATGTGGCCATATTAACTTAAAGAGTGTTTGACGAAAATAACGTCAACTTCTTACCCTGGCCTGCCCTATCACCAGATTTATCAACAATCGAAAATGTTTAGGATTTAATGCATAGAAGGCTGCGCAATTTACCACATCCTCCAAAGACTTTGGAAGAATGTCTACAACAAATTCAAAATGCCTGGAATGAGATACCCCAGCAGGCAATAGATCATCTCATTTTAAGCATGCCTAGAAGAATACAGTCTTGTATTCGTGCACGTGGAATTTTAACACATTATTAACATTTCTTGTGTTAGACATTTTATTTTTTCTTTGAAATTTTAATCAAATGTTTGTCTACGTGCAATAGTCTTCTCCACCAAATTTCAACATTCTACGCCTACTCCTTCTAGGTGGTGCATTTTATTTGAAACGCAGTGTATATAGAAGATATCTGTGAGTGTTTTGGCATGACATAATAAAGGAGTTAATGTTACTTCTATTTATTAACGAACAAAAAATCAATCAAATGAAAGAAGCGCGGGTTGCATTGATTAGGTTTATTTCTTCTACAATATTTGGCAGTTCAAGGTTTGACGATTAGGGATCACATAGAAAAAGATTGAAATTTTTACAAACAGCTCTGAAGACGTACCAGTTTTAAAATCGTGGTTAAGTAAGGACTCAAAATATTAATGGTTATCAAAGGACAATGACAATGAGATTATGTATAAGCATGAGTTTTATGGTTTAAAAAAAAAACTCATTTCTCAAATTAAGCAAGAAAAATATTTTGCTACTATAATAGATGAGACAACCGACATTAATGTACATGAGCAGGTTTGTATCTGCGCTTTGCCCATGAATCTATGTCTGTTTATGAACATTTCACTGGATTTTACGAAACCTTTTCTATTACAGTCGAATACCTCTATAAAATTGTTAAAGATGTTCTGATTAGAGCGGAATTGCCTTTAGCAGACTGTAGAGGACAAGGTTCTGATGGTGTAAGCAATGTTAGTAGTCATCGCCATGGTTTACAAACTCAAATTCAAGCAGATGAACCACGTGCGGTATTTGTACACTGCTTGGCTCACAATTTAAATTTAACCGCCCAAGACTATGCGATTAAATAATAAAGACTAATAAATCTAATAAGCAAGTCTCTCAAACGTCTATCTTGGTTCGAAAAAATAAAAAAAGACGACGTAGCGGACCAACACCAGAACTTTGAAATCGCTTTGTCCCACACGGTGCAGCCAACGAAGTTGGAACTAAAACCAATGCTCATTTAAAAAATCTTCAGTGTTTTGAAACATTGTTCCTCATTAAAATATTTATATTGACAAACGTTGAATCTTTACAAAAAGTAATACTGCATTTTAATGGATCGATGAAATTTACACAGAAGGTTACTGATACCTTAAAAAACAAAAGGAACGAAGGTTATAATATTCTTTGGCAAGATGTTATTAAATTTGGTAAGAAAATGCAACTGGACGAACCCGTATTGCCACGCCAACAACAACTTATAAAATTATTAGCTACTCTTTGGGGGCTCGACTCTTTTAAAAAAAAGGTCCTACTGTGGAACTATAATTGGATATTAAAACCCAATTTTGGGTTGTTTTATGATTTTTTTTAGCAAAACTTAATGCCTCTGCCTCTGACGACAATTACATTTTTTTAGAAGTTGTGTAAAACAATAGTCTTTCATTGTCACAAAATGTGACTGTAAAACAAAAAATCAGAACTAACTGCATTGGTTGCTTCAAAGCTCTGAAAATCTCTCAAAATCTTAAATAAAAAAAAAGATTTTACATATTTCATATAATAATACTCGTAATAACGTAATCACATGTTTTAAGTAATAAGTTCTGATTACTAACCTATATAAATACAACTACGATTTTTTTGCTTTTCAGCATCTGGTGAAAACAGCCGATGCAACAGACATTTTTGTTAAAGAAACAGTTATATGGACATCAAGAAAAAGTTTGCCGTATAACTTTTTTGATGACGAAGCTACACAGAATTATTTCAAATTAATTTCTCCAAATCTATCAATGCCAAAAAAAGACAAACTACGTTGTACAACTCTCAAATATTTCGAACAAATGCGTGAAAATGTAAAACAACTTTTACTTGACACTAGCAGTAAAATTTCTTTTACTGTAGACGGTTGGACGTCTGTTAACAGAAAATCTTATTATGGAATAACAGCACATTACATATATGACAACTGGAAATTATGTTCTCTAACTTTAGATTTTTTACCATCTGATGGAAAACATACAGGTTTAGACATTGCAAAACTCTTTCACTCATCTATAGAATTTTTCGGTCTTAAAGAAAAAATTCAAGGCATCACCATGGACAATGCTTCTGCCAACGACATGTTTATAGCAGAATTGAAAAAACTTCTGAATCAAGAAAGCATTAGATTTGACGAAAAAAATAGCCACTTCCGATGTATGGCACACATTTGCAACTTAGGCGTGAAAGATATTTTAAACACTCTAAAAATAGAAGAGGTACGAACAGAGGATCATGAAGATGATTATAGTGCTGATGAGAACAATGAAGAAGATTCTGAGGAGGAAAACGATGCTGATAGAATATCATTTGTTGAAAAAATTCGTGGAATATTTCAAAAAATACGTAAATCAGAACAAATATGCAATAAGTTTAGAAGTTGTTGTGAAGTAAAAAGAATAACCTATAAGGATCCTCCTTTAGATGTATCAACTAGATGGAACAGTACGCAGGCAATGCTGGAAGTTGCTTACAGTATGAAAGAAGCTTTACAACTGCTCTCTGAAAATAATGCCGTTTTAAAGCGCTATTCTCTAACTGCCTATGAATGGATTTGGGTGAACAAATTGAAAGAAGTTTTAAAATATTTTAAAAATTTTTCAGTGGTTTTGGAAGGAGAACAATATCCTACCTTATCACTAACCGTTATAGCCTTTAATTTACTACTTGATAGACTGGAGTCATTCATGAATTCATTGAATATTGCTGACGAAACCGACATATGCTTTTATAATGCATGTGAAAATGGAAAAAGAAAAATTCTGAAACACTATCAAAAAACTAACTGGATTTATTGTGCCGCTCTATTATTAGATCCGCGTCATAACCTACGGAAATTCGATCAAACTGCATGGGGAAAAGAGTTGAAACATTATTCAGTGGTATTTTTTGAAAAAGTTTTTCAGCAGGAATACTACCCCCATTATGAGGACAGTGACTACCCAAAGCATCAACCTACAAAATCAACGGCATCAACAGACAACAATCCCCTAAGCAGTATATTGGCATTTTTTGACGACACCACTGCTAATTTGTCTCCAGCAGAATGTTGGAGAACTGAGCTTAACCGTTATTATACAGAACCAGCCCCAGCACCTACCATAAACATTTTAGAATGGTAGAACGTTCATAGAAGTATTTACCCTAATTTAGCAAAAATGGCCAAAGATATTCTAGCCATACCTGCTACATCCGTACCCGTGGAAAGAGTATTTTCAAGGGCAGGACAAATTATGCGGAAAGAAAGAAATCGGCTCACAGCCGAAACTGCACGAAGTCAATTGTGTATTGGTTCCTGGGCTCATTGCCCTCATGCAAATAAAATTATGCTTTGATTTTTTTATATACTCGTAACATACTCGTTTTTAATTATCTTTCTCTGTTTTGTATTTTATTAGAATAGAACTAAATAAATGTTTTTTTCAAATTATTTACATATAATTTTATAAAACCGATACTCGAGAGCCTCGGCATTTGGTCTCGATCTCGCCGAGAGTTTCGGCAAAAGGTCTCGAAAGTGAGTCTCGCTTATTTTCTGGTATCGGTCTCGGGTATCGTCCCGAATTTTAAGCGATTCCGAGACGAGAACGAGATTAGTCTCGATTTTTGCGAATCCCTATAAGCAACTGATAAACTGAATGACGAAAATGATTCGTAACTGGTAGCAAACAATTTGTAGACAGAACGACCATTCATCGAAACACTTTTTTTTAAAGAATACCATTAATAATTTAGCATGTTATTTACTTTTCTTTGTTTAGACTATATGGAATAAAACGTTTATTTTGTGTTGTTAAATTTCAATCAAACATTATTCAAGAAGAACAATCATTTTTTCATTTCTTTGGATTTTTCGTACTAATAACCTTAGACACATAATACATAGAATAATATTTCAACCATATGAATAAAATTTGTATCATGTCTTCATGTCTGAATTGGTTTTGCACTCGACCAAAATTTGAAAACGCGCCGCGTATGTTCACACCCCCTTTGTATTTTTGCAGGTTGTGTATTTGTTAATAAGACTGATTCACTTCGATATCAGCCCTCCTGACCAAGTTACAACTATAATTCGATATCAATTCCGAAGAAGACTTCAGTGAGTTTATGAGTCATTTATATTCAAGTCTGGCACTTTCGTAATGTTGTTAAATCTCAAAAACCAGGTAAAATCAATTTTGGAAAAAGTTTTCCCTCTTCGTTCCTAAATTTGATTCAGAATTATTCAACAAAGCGCGCCCACGACTCGTTGGAATTTAATCACGACCTTTCATAAAAAATTTCAATTAAATAAAAAATAAAATTTTCACTTACGTTATGCGGCTGAGAAGAAAAGTATCAGTTGGTGTAAAAAAAAAAATGCACACATCACGTACACATACTTATATGTCCATAATTAAGTTAAGTCAATTAGATACCTAAAACTGTTGCACCAAAACATCCTTCCTCGCGTCGAGAACGATATCGTATCGTTCAAATATATAATTTATTAGTAATCAATTCATACGACAATAATAAACGTGCACACAACCGCCACGACTCGATTAAAATGTCTGGTGGCTTGGGCCCAGTGTGGAGTGTACAGCATTCTTGCTGACGTTGGATACGTTGGCAAACTATCATGTTGCAATAGAGAGGGCCGTATTCAGGTATATTTAAAAAAGAATTTGCACTGGGCTACCAAACGCCCTACGACAGAAAGTTTGTTTTTGCAAAAAATGCATCCGTCTAAGCTAACGTTTAAACGTGTGTAAATGAAAATATCGAGTGTAGATCTAATTATTGTTAAATGCTTAGAAAAAAAAAAACTGTTTAACTTGAAAACGGTTATTTGTTATACGATACGACAAAAAAAGTTTACAAATACCCAGCACATCCATTAGCATCGACTGTTTTTAGTTTACCTACTTTTCGCATATGGTTGAAAATGGCAAAAGTTTCTCGTGCCCAAACGCCAAAAGTTAAAAAATAATCATAATTTCTGAGTAAAAAATCTATAGACCCGTATATTAGAACGCTTACGCTCAGGAACTAAAAATCGCTAAAAGATGGTTCACGTTTTTGAAGGTTTTGTAGACATTTTGGCACAAACGGTACAAAGAAAACTATTTAAGAGTTTTTTGTTTGTTGTTACTATTTATATTTAATAAAAAAGGAAAAATCAGCACTGGTGTCTTTAAACACGCAATAAAAACAATAAAAACTAAACCTGTTTTTAGAATGTCTCGCAAAAGTTATTAATAATTTATTTTTGGTATAACAAAAAAACATGTATAGTGTTATTTCATACTTCACTGGCACAGCTGTTTTTTTGAAAATTCGTCAGCTCGTCATTTAAAAATTTCTTAATTTTTGAAAGAACAGAAAATGCATCGAAAAAAGCGAAATCTTCTAAGTGCTAAATTGAAAATGGCACTCATTAACTCCTAATTTTGACAATGGAGCCAGCCATAACTGGAAGAAAAATGTATGAACACTGCACTGTTCAGTACGTAATATTGATTAATATTTTAAACTAGGTTTCTGAGTCCACTGTAAGAACTATTTTGAAGTGCCATACAACGGGCAAACCAATTGTCTCGTCTAAAAGTGCAGCTGGGAGATCACTTTTTTAGGGAAGAGTTGGGACGGTAAATTCAGAAATACAAAGAAACAGGGCAATATTTTAATTTGGATACGCTTCTTTCAATTGCACAAAATAATTTAGAATATACAGAATCGCGAAGTAGGTACTCTGTATAACATAATTAAAGCAATGGGTTTCAAATATAAGTATGTAGGAAAATCATCGAAAAATTCTGAAATAGTTGCCGAAAGAATAAAATTTCTAAAATGTTACCTGAAATATCAAGCAGATTATCCAGATGTTAAATTCATTTTCCTCGATGAGACTTGGATTTACAAGCATGGTTCCCAGTTAAAAACATGGCTACATGACAATATGCACACAAAAAATTATAAAGCCACAAAATTACACAAGGACAGCGTTTTACGGTTTTGCATGCTGGATCCTCAGCGGATTTTATAAATGGGTGTAGCTCTCTCGCACTCTACCAATAATGATAGAGATTATCAAAAAACCATGGATTCCAATATGTTTAAAGAATGGGTTTTCAACGAATTTATACCTAATGCAATTTGTTCACCAAATCTTTCAAAAAGTTCTAAAACAATCGTCATTATGGATAATGCCAGCTATCACTCCGTAAAATTAGATAAACCACCAACTAAAAAACTGTCCTGCAGGAATATTTAACAAAATGCAACATTGCATTTAATTCAAAATTTACAAAAAAAGAGTTATGGGATTTAATTCAACCCACAATTTCACCTGATACTCCTGTAAAATATGAAACTGATAACATTTTGGAACAGCATGACATTGATGTGCTTCAGCTTCCACCTTACCACTGTCAACACAACGCTATTGAGATGGGCACACTGCAAACGTGACCACAATCAAAACATTCATGAAAATACTAAAGACAAAAAACGAGTAACGTACTTGAGGTTGGAGATAATAATTTTGATTCCCAAATGTGGAAAAATAGTATTCGGCATTGTGAAGAATTAATTCTAGCAGACTAACACAAAGAAATTGGCAATTTTCCTTTAGATAGTATTCCACCAGTCATAATATCTTTAACGGACTCTGATCCAGACGAAACACATGATGATGAGAGGGTAACTGACGAGGGCAGCGCACTATTAGTGACGTATTATTCTTTCTTGTAGCTGTTATAATCTTAAATTTATTGTACTTTGAGTAAAAATATGACTTTTCAAAAATAACCTTAACATTTTTTGATGTCAAAAAATTCCCTAAATCAAATCAGTACAGCGTTGCCGATAATACGTTTCCGGGGAAATTGCTACATTAGTGAGTTTTTAATAGAAAAACAGATAATAGCGTGTTTGCGCAAAACATTTTCTTATAAATTTTTTCTTATGCTTACACTTATCCTTATAACTATGTCTTATAATTATAACACTCACAATCGTTACTTCTTATATTGACAATAGTAGAATTTTTCTACAATGTCAGTCAGTGTCATTTAGAACTTTAATTAGTTATGTCGCAACTGAAAAAGAAACGATTTCGATTCTCAGAGAGGGAACGTATAAAATGTTTGAATGCATTATTCGACCTTCTTTGCGAGACTGAATTTACAAACGAAGAAGATGTGTGGAAAAAACTTCATGCAGTCGTAAGTGAAGACGAAAGAGAGCGCTTTCAGAACTGTAGCTTCAAATTATTAAAAGATCATATGTTGGAACAAGTAATAAAATTTAGAAAATTTGATGCCGACGAAGCTACAGAAAGTGGGAAAGAACGGATACAGACTGAGTGGGGCGACGCTGTTAGAAAACTTCTGACTGTCTGGTCGCAATATGAAGATGTGGCACAAATTGACATAGAAAATAAAAAAAATGAACGGGGTAAAAAAAGATGCAGTGGCCAAAAATTCGACGAGGTTATGCCTGCAAAAGCAATTCGCCAAGCTGCTCTGCAAAGTTTGGACAATCCTATTGAAAGTTGTAATAGTGAAGAAATATTAGAAACAGAAGCCACTGACGTGGACAATGAAATATTTTTTCACACTGTTGACGATTTTAATGACACTGATATTGATGGTGAGCGTGGGGGTCGTGAAGGGTTCAACCAAGAATCTAGCAGGGTTTATACAGCAGCAGCACGAAAGACGAGAAATGGAACTAAAGATGGAACAAGTTTTTCATATTTAATTGAAAAAATGAAACGGGAAAGTCAGCTACAACAAGAACAATTAAGATTTAAAGAAAAGCAACATCAAGATAATATGAAAATTCAAATAGAAGAGTTGGAATTCAAAAAAGCTAAGCTTGAGTTCGAACAGAAAAAATGGCAAGAGGAGGAAGAGGGCCGTAAAATAGAAAGACAAAAAAATGCAATTTTAAACAGATTTTTGGAAAACATTTTAACACAAAATTTAAATAATAAAAATCTGACATAATTTTTGAAATAATTACAGCTTTTAAATGTTTATTTAATAATAACATATTAATTAAAGGTAATTGTTTGATTAAAAAGAAATTATTGAAAATATTCCATAATATCTAGTGATTCTATATCGAAGTATCGAGAAGTTGTGCTTCCATAAAAACATGTATGCGCATTCGTTAGTAATGCAGCCACAATATAATACTGACCTATTGGTTGCAGAAAAAGTTTTTGATTTTTTTTAAAATCCACAAACGCAAATTGCGTTGTTATTTTACCAAAACTCCATTCTACGCATTGGCGTATTTTGGACATTTTGGTATTAAACATTTGTTGCTGCTCTGTTAAATTATGATTAGAAAATGGTCTTATTAATTGTTGCACTAATGGATACCCTTCGTCACCGTATAAACAAAACTGTGGGCAATGGAGCTTCATTTGCTCTAAGATTTTTGAATTTTTAAGGATAAAAGAGTCATGTCGTCTGCCAGAATACGGAGGACTTAAATGTAAAATGATACCGTTTGGAACGGTGATTGATTGAAATTTCAGACAATGTATTCTTTTATGTCCGCTGTAAACTTCTTTTTGAAATTTTGATGGTCTACAAATTGCCCGGGCAGTACCATCGATAAACCCAATGCAATTTCTTAAAGGAGCACCTTTCTTATGTACGAAGGCAGCCACCTCTGCGAGAAAACCTTGCGTTAACCATATGTTTTTATCAAAATTTAATAATAACTTGGCCCATTTCTTGAATATAAAAGTAACAACAAACTTTAAAATTTTACTGATTGACGAAAAATGTAATCCAAATTCATTTTGCAATCCTTTTAGTCTGTTTGGGTAAGAAAATCGTCTTAAAACGAGACATAATCCTGCAAGACCTATAAATGAAGAGTGTTTAAAAATACGGAATTTCTTCTCGATTGTAGATAATAATAAACCTTCAATGACATGACCATCTGGTGTAACCCATTTTGCAGGCATTTGCAAAGCTTGATGTAATTTAATTATATGTTCTTTTTCAAATCGAAAAAGAAAACGAAAGTTTTCTGGCGGAATGCTATTCATGTTGAATTTAACACACGTATATGAATAACGCTTTTCTGTTAACTCTTTTTGTATTAACTGATGCACTAAGTAGTTCTGTACATCTTCTGTATTGCCAAAAGTAGCCAAAATTTCTAAATTATTCATGGGCAAAATGAATCAATTTGCGTGACAGAAAGTCAGTTCTGCTTGTCAATGTAAGGTTCTAAGCCGTCAGCATAACTGTTACAATTTATACTTATAACTATAATTATAAATTATAATTGTAAGCATAAGGAAAACTTTATAAGAAAAGGTTTTCGCAAACATGCTAATGACTGCGATTCTGTTTAATCTTAATTATAACGATTGATATTATAACAATATCGTTATTTTTCTAGTTGTAACGATTGTCCTTCAGTTTTTGATATTCTAGTTAGTAACCTCGAATTTAACAATTTCGTTATTCCTTAGACTCTTAACGATATCTTTAATTAAATCAAGTGAAGTTAGGTTTTTTCCCATTTTTG